GTGGGGGGGGGGGGGATGTTACAGGTATTACCAGCTGAATGAATGTTCTCAGAACAGTGCTACAGACTTCTTGATAATGGCAAATCGCACAAGAGAGCTACTTTTGCTATATAATAAATTAAAGTTTTCAGATAAGCACAACGTGTTGACTTTGACTTATTGTGGAGGAGTGGATGTTTGTACTTAACGAGACTTTTTGTAGCCATATGTTAAGCTTTGTTTTTTCAAGGCTTTTATTTGTATAAGTGTTGGGGGGTTCCCTTCCTGTAGTGTGTTACATAATGGGTTTCATTTATAACTTACACAACACGGTAGAATGAATAAAAAGCAGTACAAACAAACAATAACAAAAATAAAAGGGTAGTAATAACTAAATAAAAGGTCTAGGAAAAGGCTCTATTGAACAGATGGTTTTGAGGTCCTTTTTTAAAAGCCTCCACGGTCTGTGATGCTCATGTGGTCGGGGAGAGCGTTCCACAGACAGGGAGCAGCCGAGCAGAAGGCCCGCTCTCCCATAGGACGGAGCTTGGTCCTGGGGGGTTTGAGGAGGTTGGATTTGCTGCATGTAAATGTTCTGACAAGGCTAAACATTTCCCTCCAGAGGGAGTTCCTCTCCCACACACTCACCCAAACGCTGTAACAAGATATGGTTTGATGCTTATGCTTGAACAATTAGACAAGTAATGGTCTAATCCAGGGGTCTGCAACCTTTTTGACCAAAAGAGCCATTTTGCTCCTTTTTCCAAAATATTTTTTTGTCTGGAGCCGCAAAACATATTTCATAGCTTGATAGCTAATAAAGTTGTATTTATTGTTATATCAGACAAAAACTACAGTTGTTTTGCATTTATTAGGCTATTTATTACATGATATAAAACTGTTAACCTCTAATAAGAAACAAATAACTCCTATAAGGAGAATTAAAAAATAATACACAGGCCTACTTTAAAATAAATTAAACACAGCACTTGGGGAGTCCTCTGCACATTTGAAGGGGGACATTTTTTTATTAAAATGGGCCCACTTTGAAATAAATAAAACAGATAGCTGCACCCTAAAAAGAGTTAAAGGTAGGGTAGGTAGAATGGAGAAACCAGCTCGAGTGCGCTAGAATTTGAAAATACACAACCGGAAAAAATATGCCTCTTCCTTCAGACTTTCTTACAGAGTCCCTCCTCCAACACACACGAACGCGCATGATCAATGAGGGAAGAGATAAGTTTGTGCACAGATCGAAGGCTGACAGGCAGGTAGGCCATCCAGTTACTTTAGCCGGGCCGGCTAAAATGATTGGTCGTGCTTTTTACAGCGCTACGGCTTCCA